CCTCCTCCCCAACTCACTGTACCACATGCAGAGCTTTGACGAGACTCCGACCACGGACAGGTTTGCGCTGCGGCGGCTGAACCCTCCGGGCTCCGGGCCGGGCGCCCAGTACGGCAGTCTGGGCACGACGTCGACAGGGACGGCGACGGCGACGGCGACGGCGACGGCGACGGCGACGGCGACGGCGACCGAGACGGGGACGGGGACGGGAACAGACTCGCCTGCGTCGGATGGGCTGGATGCGAGGCATGCGCGGCTGGTGGGTGACGGGGCTCGGCTCGAGGGCGCAGCGGTGACGGCTCCGGTCCGCAGGCCGCGGTTCTCGTCGTCGGACGATGACGAGCGGTCGACGCGGTCGTCGTCCGAGGCGGATGACATGGCCGGGCGGTTTAACATGCGGGCGAGCGGGCGACAGCTAGAGACGCAGGACGCGCTGCTGTCGGATACGTCGTCGGACGGCGAGGCGCGGATGGGCCGGCTGTACATGGGTCGGCCTGAGGACGAGCTGTACACGCCGGCGGGCCGGGGTGGACTGGTCGGGCGAGGCCGGCTCGTGCGCAGCGAGTATGCCGGTGGGGTGGCCGGATCGGCACGGGCGGGCTCGGCCGAGTCGGACGATGACGAGATCGGGCGGGCACGCCGGCGAGGCCGCCCACGCGGCTCGCGCAACCGGCGCGACGATCACGCGCGGTGGAAGTCGGTGACGTCGACCAAGGTAGCCAAGTGGCGGCCGATGACGACGGCGAACCGGGCCTTCCTCGTCTCGCTCATGGAGTCGCTGGTCGAGCCGATTGCCAACGAGGCGCCGCCGCTCCGCCGCGCCGAGGCAACCTCGGTCCTCAACTCGCTCATTGTCTCGCTCGACACCAAGATGGCCCGCCTTGCCGTGCCGTATGGCAAGCGCAACACGGCGGTGTACGCCCTGCTCGATGAGTCGAACCGCGAGCTGGAGGCCACCTTTCTTAAGAACACCCAAGAGCTGACCGGGCTCAAAATCACCCACGCGGCACAGGAAGCGCAGTTGCGGACGCTCGACAACCGGCTCGCCGACCTCAACGCTGCACTCGACAACATGAAGGATCGCAAGGCCGCGCTCGACGCAGGCTCCGGCCTCCACACGCTGCTGCAGACGGTCGACCGCGCGCCGGACGAGTCGATCAACTTTGAGGTCGGGCTCACTCACCCGGACATGCTCCGCGCCCAGTCGTCGGGCTACGCGCCGGCCGCCGACGCCGAGCTGGCGTCGGCCAAGGCCGGCCTCATGGCGGCGCTCGAGGCGACCGGCCCGCTCGCCGCTGCGCTTGCCCGCACCCTCGACAAGGCCGACGCGGTCGCCAGTGCCATCTCGGACTTTGCGGCCGAGGGCGAGGCATGAGCTCCACGAGCTTATGACGACGAGGATGACGGAACCCACTCGGGATGAGCAGCGCTCCACTTTCGCACCTTGCGGGCCTTGGCGGCCTCTTTGCGGACCGAGGCGTTGCGCCGGCCGGTGGCGCGCCGGCCAGCAGCCGCACCACGGCTTGCCGGCGGCGGCAGAGCCAGCTCGGCAGCAGCAGTGGCGTCGGCAGCGGCGTTCTTGCCCGGCGGTACGTGGCGGCGTAGTCCCTTGAGCGCCGACCGCAGCGAGAGGCCTCGAGGACGCCACCGGCGTGTGCACGTCTCAGGCGTGGCGTGA